TATTATGATTCATGCCGGAACTTACCGGATAACTTGCCTGTGTAGTTGAGACATTTATTTCTGCAATCTCCTGTTACTGATGCTCCCTGTTTACTCTGGAACGGTAAACCAAACACCAAATTTAAGCATTATGTTGAGCATTTTTACTATGATCTAGCTAATGCTAACTGGTTTAAAGATATTTGGCACAAAGGGAATTGTCTTAAACACAATGTTTTTGTGTGGCTAGCACTTGTTGGTGGGCTAAAAACAACGGACGCACTTAGAGTTAGGCATATTTTCGTGCCTAGTTCCTGCAGCCTTTGTCACTCTTTTGATGAAACGATCATTCATTTATGAAAGTTCATTAGGGATGTTAAGCCCTTATGAACTTAGAGAGATTACAATGGACTTAAGGAAGGAGAAATGAACCACTCTGCCCTTTATCTCAATGACTGAACCTCACCACCAATAACCAAGCCCTTACTGATAGAGTGTTGTTTTCAGCAAGCAAAAGGAATTAATCAATATTGTAAGACAATGATGTTGAGAGTCTATGTAAGAAATGACCTAAGGGATAGAAGTGTAGTTGGGACAAATTGCGGATCTTAAAAGACACAGGTGAATGAGTCACGTTGAGGGTGGTGAGGAAAAAGCAAGATTGTGGCAAGGGGTATAACCAAATAGAAGGATGAACTTTGAGGAGACTTTTGCCCCTGTAAAGCTAGATTGGAAGACATTAAAATGCTATTAGCCTTTGTCTGATATAAAGGATTTAAGCTTTTTTCAAATGATGTCAAAAGAGTGTCTTTTAAATGGGAAAATAAAAACAAGTAATTTGTTTGTAGAACAACCCCCAAGTTTTGAGAGTTTCCCAATTTCCCAAAATCATGTTTTCTAAATTTAAAAAAGGCTTTGTATGTTTAAAGCAGCACCACAAGCTTGGTTGATAGGGCTTAGCAAGCATTCTTAACTAGAGAGGGATTTGTCAGGGAGCGTAGACAACCACCCTTTTTTTATGAAGTTGAATGATTTACTCATGTTCAGATTTATTGGATGATAATAACTCTTTAATATTCTAATAAAAAATTGTGTGAGATTTTTCTAAAATAATGAATAGAGAATTTGATTGGGAGATGTCCTACTTTTTGGGTTTAGCATAAAACTAATTGGAGGATGGACCTTTTTAAATCAAACAAAATACAATAAATGACTATTTTGAAAGAAATATGAGATGACAAAGCAAAGCCAAAACACTTTCCCATGACTTCTAGTGCTACCATTGGATAAGACCCAAGTGTAAGTCTGTTGTCAGAAGAAGTATAGAGCATGATTGGATCTTTACTCTACTTGCGATGAGAGCCTACCTTATATTTATGTTTGAGTGTTTCGGCTTTAGTGCTAGATTTAATTGACCCTAAGGATCCACATACTGCTGTTAAGAGGATTTTTAGATACTTTTGGATACAAGCTTAGGGATTATGGTACCGTCTAAACACAGCACTTCTTTGAGATTATTCGAAATCTGACTCTGATTTTTTGCAGGAGTCAAGTGGATAAAAAAGCACTTCAGGAACTTGGTCAATTCATTTGGACAAATCATTGTCTCTTGGTCTAGAGAGAAAAACTCTGTTGCACTTCCACTGCTGAAGCGGTACATCGCTCTTGGAAGTTGTGTGCCCAAGTCAATGTTTGGTTGAACAACATGTAATTGATTTAGGAATTACCTTAGCGCACCATCTGCAATCTTTTTGTGAATAAATCTAAGTGCCATATGCATATCTAAGAATCCTATCGCAACATTCAAGACTAATACTATCATTGACATTAGGCATCAACTTCATTAGAAATCATGTGACTAAGGGAACATTGGAGTTACACCCATTACAACTGAAAAATCAATTGCTCATCTTTACTAAACAGCACTGCCTACGAACACTCTTCAGTTCTTTAAGGAAAAAGATTGAGTGTGATTGACATAACTTGCATGAAACTTGATCTTTTAGTTACTTTCTTTGTTTTTTTTTTATTATATGTTTATACTTTCTTTTGTTTTTTTTTCCTTCTCTTTACTGTAGCGTTTTTCAAATCATCGGCTTGAAATTGATAACATATTCCATGCTTGTATCTTTTTTTTTTTAAATTGTAGTCAATGTGGTTTCATCATCCCTTAATCTCCTAGATCTGGTAAAATATTATTATGTTGTGTCTATTTCTCTAACCTATTTTAGTGGCATAGTTTTCTTCTAATCAAAAGACTATCTTAAATTAAAAGAATTGTTTATGAAATTGAGATCTTTTTTTAAGCTTGCTTAAAGCAAATAGATATCTATTTATTAAATGTTTAAAGTTTTTTGTCCCACATCAAAGATCCTCATATACTCTTCTTTTGATTAATTAAATTCTATGTTGTGAAGTCTCTCTATATGTTAGAGAGAGAGCTCTTTCATTCTCTAATATCTGAGAGAAGATTATATTCACAACATAAGGTTTTAAGAGTTATAAAAAAAGATGAAGTAGCTTGCAAAAAAAAAAAAAAAAATGGTCAATGATGCCAACAAAAAGAAGCGCAAAGAGCCTAAAATTGAAAAAATCTAAAAAAGTTGGCCGTAAAGCCCCATAAATACAAGAGGCAATAAAATGAGTCCCACATCAAAAGCAAGCTATTCATCTCCTTTTAAAATCTTTTAGAACTTAGAGTTTTGGCTTCTCAAAGTATCTTTGATTCGATTGTGTTGGATCGTGACAGTTTTACTTTGTTTCATATGAGTTTATAAAGATAGTTTTTTCTTAAACCCAAGTGAGATGGATTCTTTTTCACATAATTCAATTAATTTTTCTAGTTAGGTCAATTTATTTTCAAAAGATGATTCTACCCCTAAGAAAACGTCGAGCTACGAAGGAACATATAACCGAGTAATATCTACTATCATGAGTTGGTTGAGTTGTTAACCATTAACGCACAAGTTTTTTAAATAAATCACATGGAATACTACACATTTTCATGCCTATTGTTTAAAAAAAATTGATTTTGATTCTATTAATTCTTTTGTGTTTCCACTCCTCCTTTCTGATATGTCAAAGGTGGGAGAAGTTTATAATTTCTTACGTAGCTTGTCAATCCTGAAAAATTTTTTTCTGCTAATTATTCTCGTAGTGGTTATTGCCATCATCAAAAAGAGAGGGAGATTTTGCAAATCTATTTCATGACTTATTAATGTTTAATGATGACAAAACTACTATTGAGAAATTTCTCTTGAACGCATGTTGCTTCTACTTTCAGTGATCGTAAAGATCCGGACGAACAGACGAAGCCAGTTCAAGATTGCGTAAGCAAGGTTCAAGTCAGTCGTGTAACTTTGTTTTTCTCTTTCTTGATCTATTGTTAATTGTCAAGAGACATGATGCTAAACGTAACCTAACACACATCACACTTGAGAGACTTAGAATTTCTGTCTTTTACTCATATCGCAAGGACAATTTATATCGTCCTGGACAAATCAGGCTTAAAACAGAAAGTTAAATTAGGATTCTTAATTAAGAAGCGTATTAACAGATCGGACGCATGACTAAAAGTGTATTGCTAGGACGATAAGCTCAAAATAGAAAGAAGTTGCCCAGCCATAGAACAAGTTAAGGTATAATGTATTTTTAAATTATCGGCCAACGATCATTGAATCGGCCTAGACGATATTCACCAAATTATGCTCTTAAATGATCAGCAAATCTATAGAGAGTAAATTAAGGATGATTGATAACAATTCATATCATCCTGGAACGATAGCAGGATTCGACAGGGACATCTAATTAAAAAACCTTGGCTACTTCAGATAGATAAATATCGGCCAGCTCAAATTCAGAGCGCGATGCTCAAACGATTTTCCTTCTATTCATAACTGATCGTGCGGGACGATCGTCGAAATCGGCCTGATCACATCAAGCCTAAATTTTAAAATCGTACCAGTTTGCAGGTTCAGGGCGAAATGCTCTGCGCCAGTCTCTGGATTTGTACTGATCGCCTAGGGCCGAGATTCATAATCGGCCTGGACGATATTGTCGGCAACTTGCAATTAATGAGCTCCTTTTCGAAGCTCTTCTATTTTAAGAGCTCTTGTTCAACAACGTTTTAAGACTTTGGCCCCTGCCTTGGACCCTGAGAAGGCCTTGAGTGAATAAAGAGAGAGAGGGACAGAGAGATGACTCTGGAGGGGAGCTTGGAGGGATTCACAAAGGTTACTTCAAGATCGCTCTGCTTCTCTTCTCTATAAATTCTCGTCCGTGAAGGGCGGTAAGGTAAGAGTTAGCTCTTGTTGTGGTCTCTCGAGCCTAGGAGAAGCAAAAGGAGATAGGTTCTCTCCTTTCGGAGTGTGTGCAAAAAAGAGGGTTCCTGTAAAGGCTTCTCCCGCCCTAGCTTGGGGGCAAAAGCGAGGAGTAAGTTTGTAGTCGCAATACTCGGAGGCTCCTCCAGGAGTGAGAACGTAGGTCGAGTTACCGACCACTAATATATTTCTTGTTCTTGTTCTTGCTTCCGCATTTTATTTCCTGTATTTTATTTTCAGTGTGTTGATTTTGTGTTATGTGTTTTTTCATCTTTATGAAGAAAATTTTAAAATACCAAATTCAACTCCCCCCCACTCTTTGTTAGCTTGGGACTAAGA